GCCGCCTGGAGGTCGTTCGCGATGAATTAGAACTCTAGTCGCCCCAGGTACAAAAGCCATGGCGTGTCGGTATCCGGCACGAACTCAGCGACGGTGCCAAATGTCGTGGCTGCCGCCATCGTACCTTGCTAGCCGAGCGCGTCCGCTTCGTCCCCCGTTGTCGTCGTCGCTTATTTATTTACCTCGTCGCCGATGTTATATATTTAATAGCGGAAGGGTTACAAGTTTTTTTCCAAGTGGAACCTCTGCCCTGAGGCCGACGCCGCAGCGCTCCATCTTTGATGACAGTCAGTCGCCGTCTGTTTCGTCTTGATTTTACGTGTCACACGTGACACGTAAAATGAAGATATCGACCGGTGCCGGGACAGACTTTGTTCTGTCCTGACACCGGTGCCGGTGTCACCGGTGTCAGGACAGAACCACCGGTGTCAGGACACCGGTGGTTCAATACTAAATTCAGACAGAATTTAGTATTGAACCACTGAAACGGCCGTAATTCCGGTAGTCAGATCATCTACACAGCACAGCCTGGTACTGAGTACTTAAAGGCGTATTTGCTGCATAAGGATGCGATATAATCGACAGGTTGTGCACGGTTCGCCGTCAGCGCCGCACGCGTCGATGCGTTTACCCTAAGCCAAACAATACGGTCCGCCACTTCGCCCTCTCCTGGCCAACCAGTTCCCAACATGCAACGCTCGAGTGGTGTTGCCAGTGTTGCATACAGCGATTTTCCGAAGAACTCTGTTGTGTCGCTACGTGAAACGGTCCTAGTTAAGAGCTAGTAACTTCCAAGCATTTCCTCTCGAACTGTGCCTCCAGGTCTCCCCACTCCTTTTCACCCCATTGACGTTCACCGTCGGGTCGGCCTGTGTCCACAGAGTATGGGGAATGACGGGCTGCGGCCGGTCATGTGTCAATTTTCCCGCTAAATTTAGTGGGCAACCTGAATATGTGTAGGTCACGTGACGTCAATTTTCCCGCTAAATCTGGCGGGGAAACTGAATTTGTGTATAGGTCCCGTGACATAAAGTCCCCGCTGAATTTTTCGGGGAAACTAAATTGACGTTGAGGTCACGTGACGTGAATTTCCCCGCTGAATCTAGCGGAGAAATTGAATTTCTGTATCGATCACGCCACACGAAGTCATGTGACGTCATTTTTTTTCGCTACATTTAGCGGAGAAACTAAGTCGGTGTTGTGCTCACCTGGCGTCATTTTTCACGCTAAACCTAGCGGGGAAACTGAAGCCTTGTGACGTCACAGGCCACGGCTTCACGAAGTTCGGAGCAACTAGCCAAACAACGTTTCACGTTAATATCAATATATAACCGAATATATGAAGGCCGGAAGGAGACGCCGATGGACGATTCTCACGTTGAGTGGTATGACTTTGTATTTTACCTAGAGGTCCACAAGATGGGAGTCGGCAGGCTATGTCAAGCAGAAGCTACAAGAAAAGGGCTCGCCCGAGCCGAAAGAAAAGGTACGCTATATGTTTATTATACTAAATAAACACATAGGACAGAGCGAGCTGTGAAGCAACTAGATAAATGGATCTAAATTACTGTAAGTATTTGCAAGTTCTGTAGCTACATGCTTCCAAAGTTACAATAAAATCGAATTACCTTCACATTTAAATTTTACTAATGCTTCTTACGGAACCCCCAGTCCCAAACTTTTGTCCGTCTGTGCGTCCATTTTCCGCTAAATTTAGCGGGAAAATTGATTTCACGTGACGTATACATTTGGGACATGGATGTCACATTAGAGAGTTTTACTAGACCGTGTTTCCCCCTCCGCTACGAAAAAACCGCCACAGCGCCTGCGTGCCGATGGCCTTGGCTGTAGAGTTTCGGGTAGCCGGAGGGGGAAGCACGGTCTACTAAAACTCGCTATTTCTTGTACGTCAATTCAGTTTCCCCCTCTAAATTTAGCGGTAAAGTTAACGTGACCTAAAGAAATTTAGTTTCCCGCTAAACTTAGAGGAGAAATTGTCATCATGTGATCTCAACACAAATTCAGTTTTCTCGTTAAATATGGCTGGGAAATTGACGTCACGTGAACACACCAATGGAGTTCACCCTCTAAGTACAGCGGGGTAACCGACGTCAGGTGACCTAACATCACATGACTTTTACAAGAATTCGTTTCCCCGCTATGCTTAGCGAAAAAATATGCGTTACGAGACGCACCAATTTCCTCTTCTTATCGTTCTCCCTTCTGCTCCGTTTCTCCCCCCCCCCCCTGCCATGCCTCCCCCTTTCTAGGGTGTCTTCCCCTCGCTCCGCTGCCCCTACCCTCCCGCTCCACCTATCTCTGCTTTTTCTCCTTCTTTCTATTTGTTCATGTGACACCAAATCGATTTCCCACTATATTTAGTCGGGAAATATACGCCACGTGACGAACTTCCTTTCTATTTAAATTAACACTTTAGCCCTGATCTGTCCTGGGATCCTGTCAGCGCTTCAAAGCCTTTCAGCCCTTTAAACCCCTAAGCCCTACAAACCCATTGAGGCCGCCAGACCTTCAAACCCCTTCTGCCTGCCAGACCCCCCAGCCATTTAGACGCCCAAATGACTGTGGACCACAAAACAAAAATTCAGTTTAAAACTTTGTGGAAAGTTTATTTTAGACATTGAGCTTTACATGCGTGTTGCAACTCAAAAAGACGATAAGAACCAACGTTTGCTAAAACCCGGGCACAAGCCCGGGTTTTAGCCTGGGTGCACGAAAGCGACCAGACCAAGAAGAGACAACGAAGATCTTTGTTGCAAAAAGAATATCTTCAAGGTATTCACAATGCCGCTGGGTACGTTCCTGAGATGTAAGATAGTTAAACAAGTAGAATCGAGCAGGTGCTCCACACAGACATACACACACTGTCAGTGGCAGGTTTAGCGAAAACCACGAACGTGCCATTAACATCCGCCGCCGTTGAAAAATCATAAGCACCGGCGTCTTCTTGATCTGCACACCCAACTATTTTAGAAGGTAGTATGGGACGGGAAGCCGACACTGAGCATCCGTTCGTTGTTATGCACTTAGTTTGGGCTCGTTGACGAAGAACAACAGGGCTACCAACTTCTGGCGAAGGCCGTATTTCGATTGACCAAAACAGGTTTTCTTCAAGCAAACCGCTAAGTCACCCTCTCATTTTCCCCCCGCACGCGCTCCCCCTCGTGAACGAGGGATAGAGGACACGTGCGGAAGCGTCCTTGGCCGTTCTTAGTCAAGCCTGTGAAACTTACAGAACGCATACAGCAATGCGGCCGCCAAGGCCACGACAGGATATAGACGGGATAACTTCTCAACTTCCAAAATTCGTCGGGGGCGCCCAATCCAACATGGTCAAGCGGCTTCCCCGACGCATATATCTTGAAGGGTCACGTGATCTCTACCACAGACCCGTTAAAACGATTTGATGGGGGGTGTGGTTTCACGGAAAGAATTGGGGCAGAGCCCACAGGCCCCTCAAAAACCCATGGCAGGTCTCTTACACTCTTCAGGAATTCTTAAAGGGTATATCAGGCCCCTTAGAAAACTTTGACGGACCTCAAACATGTCAAACATTTTTTGTAGGTCAAACCATTTAAAAAATCCTGGTGGGCTCTAAGACGGATTTCTAATAGGACTCTCGCCATTCCCCTCATCCCTTCCCTCTCCCATTCTCCCAAAATCTCTCTCCTGAGCATCCTAAAGCGCCCTCTCCCCCTCCTTACCTGCCTCCTTTCCCCTCTTCCTTTCTCCTTCATCTTTCCCTACTCTTTCCCCCTCCCATCCCCCCTCTTACAGTGCCCTTCTTCGCCCGACCCTCCTCATTTGTCTCCCTCCCCCTACCCCCTCCCTCGGTACGTGACCGGCCAATTCAGTTTCCACAAAATTAATTTTAAAAAAAATATAGGTTCTTCTCTCCCGGCACGATGACTTCCTATCAATCGAAACAATGGCCAAATACTTTACTCGGGGAATACAAAGCTCTCCCTGAGAAAACATAGAAAAAGTGGACAACGAAGATCTCCGGAAACACGCATGACGGCGGAAGTGGGTCGTCTTCGTCTTCACGTGCTCTGGCGGCAAGAGGAGGGGGTGGGAGAGGGAGGCGTCCCCAAAGAAACTACTTCAAAAAGGTATATTTTATGGCGCGGCCGTCGTTCCGCCTAATTCAAATGAGGAGTGTGTCCTTTATTTCTCTAGTAAAGCATTTGCAATCGCTCCCAAAGGTCACTGCCGATGTTTTAGGAGTAACAAGTCCGTTTTAGGTGAATTACAGTTAAGTTTAACAATTATGTTAAGAAATACAGAATTTAACACCGATTTAGCCTCAACATCAGCTTTACACGTTATCACTGCCTTCTTCAACAAAACATTTTTTTTTCTTCCTCTCTTTTCAAGCTCAGGGGCGTCGGAAGTTTTTGGGAAGTGTTTACTTCCTTTTCCCCTGAAAACTTACTCTGTTAGTGTAGTCAAGGGTACGGGCATGCGCGTCCTCTGCCAGGTTAATTTCTAGGGAAGGAAGGCAATCGCAACCCCCCCCCCCCCCCCCCATTCCCCCTCGTTTTCGTATGTCACTGCTCAAGCTCTGCACTGGGACTAAATCAAACACGAAATCGTGCCATGATCTTTTCCGCGTTAGAAAGTGAACCTTTGTTAATCAGTTTTATTAACCTTGACCTTTACAACCGTGGCTGATATTGTTTAGCTGAACTGAGCAATAGAAGTGATTATATGTTTTTACAATATTTTGTGCCACCAACAAACGTTGTCGACCACTTGTTAGCAGCTATGTCATTTGAAACCATCTTCCGCAGCCAGTCGGTGCCTTCGGGGAAGGACATGACACAGCGCGCCAGAAACGATCCTCCAAGAGGACCCTCCGGTTCGCGCCGACGCAGCGGCACTCTGAAGAGTCGCAGTTGCTTCGCAATCCGCCAACTCCCTGGATCATCGTGGTCGCAGTAGCGGCCTCGATCAGCCTCGTTCTGGTCATCCTGATGGGGATGGTATTCGCGCTCGCAACACGTGCCGACGTTCTGCGAGGTGCCAGAGCGTGCAATTCAGCCTCCTGCCGTCAAATTGCCACGCTAATCAAGTCAAGCGTGGACGCCTCTCAAGACCCGTGCACCAACTTTTACCAGTTTGTCTGCGGCAACTGGAAGATGAGCCATGAGAGATCCGTGTACGCTGAGCACGCTATGAACTTTGCGGCGGACGTAGCGACTTCCTTGAGGGCCCCGAGCGACGACGGAGATCGAAGTTTGGGAAACGCCGTGGCGCGTTTGTACCAGTCTTGCGAAGGTGTTATGGCGACGGACGGTGACGATCTTGATAATCTCAGGGACATCCTGAAAGATAACGACATCATGTGGCCAACGCTCTCGGATTCTGCGGATGTTCTAGCGACGCTGGTTACCATTAAGAGGCTGTTCAACGTTGCGAGCTTACTCAGAATTTCTACGCACGAAAGCTCGCGAAGACTCCTTGTTGTATCACCGGGAAACGTCCTGAGACGTTTGCAAGCCACCAGGACCGGCCTGTCTTGGACAAGGTATAATCGCTTCTACAAGTCGGTTCAAGAAGCCATCGCAAGTCCCAACAGTAATCAGAGCAGTATGCTTTCGTTCGAAAGGTTCGTGGTAGTAGAACACAAGGTAATTCAGTGGCTGAGCAAGAAAAGTGACGGAAACGTGATTGGAGATTTAGGTGAACTGGAAAAGTGCACAAATATCAACCGAAAGCGGTGGATCGCTTTATTTCCCCCGGGATGGAACGGTTCAGCAGAGAAAGGAGCACATCTTAGGGCCGTCGATACGGGTTATCTCATCGCGTTCGGAAACCTCATTGCCGATCTAGGCGAGAAAGTAGTTGAATCTTATGTGTCCTGGTCTGCTATTTACGTGATCGCGCCTATGATGAGCAAAAGACTCGCCGACCTATGGTACAGAAATGAAACGTTGTTGAAAGAAGCCACCCCGATAAAGTGCCTCCGGTTTGTGGAAATGACCTTCGGGCGGACGGTGTTCAATAGATACAATGCCAAAAAATTCGACGTTGTTGTTAAAGGCAATATCAAGGAAGTGACCAGCAACATCGTGAACGCATTTCTCCAGAAGGTGAACGACAGCGCGTGGTTAGCGAAACTAACGCCTACCATCACCAGTGCACTAGACGTCCAAAAGATGTTTGAGCAAATTGAAATGTTTTGGGCAAATCGAAACCTACAGGGCGTTCTCGCTGACGGAGACATGGGACCCTCCTTCGCACGCAACTGGGTCCGGGCGGTTTCGTACGGAAGAGCGGCCATCGCGGACATCGGCCACTCTCCCTCGTCGTATTCCCTCAGCCGGATGGTTAGCGTTTCCTCATTTGGCTTCTTCGATGTCAAGAGCAGGTCTGTGCGCATAGCCCCATACTCCGGGTTCCTCCCGGTCTACGACCTAGAGGTCATCGACGCAGTCAAGTACGGAGCCCTGGGAGAGCTTCTGGCCGTAGCCGCCTTCAACGTACTTCTCAATCACGTACCACCAAACACGCCCATTTCCCAGCGGGTCGAGACTAGTCTGCAGTGTTTCGCCGGTCCGGAAGGAGTGTACAGCAGGCGCCACGATTTCGGGATTCTCTTGCGAGTTGTCTGGGAGGCCTTCGAAGCGTTGCCCCCAGAGCAGAGAGCACTTTGGCTCGACGACATGCCCAAGTACACAGAAGAGCAAATCTTCTTCATAATGGCTTGTTACTTGACCTGTTGGGGCGGGACCGGCGACGACGATTTATTAGAGACTATCTGCAACCGTGGCGTCAGGCAAACTTCTCGATTCTCCACCGCTTTCAGTTGCCCGTATGGTGGAACCATGAACCCTCAGAACCGGTGCACTTTCTTTTAGTGATTTAATTTTATAAATTTCATATTTAATTATCATTATTATTGCGGCTTGCGATATTGTAAAATAAAAAAAAAAGAAAAAAAAAAAAAGAAAATCAAAGCCTAAAAAGCTTTCTCATTTGGCCTATTTTATTTTTTGGGAGCACTGGGACTTTTCAGAAACAGATGGCCAGCTTCTAAGGTGACACGGACCACACTTTCCACCTATAATGTTTGCCATATCCGTCTCCAGTTGACTGATCGTCACATTTCTTGCACACAGTGGCGTTTCACCTCAGCAGCGTCCTCCGATCTAGATGACTCAAGTCAAGAAGGCTCGCTTTAACTTTTTGTATTAAACATATGCATTGACTCATTCAACAAGTAAAGAACATTGAGGGTAAGGTGGGTTCAGCTCCCGCAAGCAACTGTCTGTAGGAGTTTGATGTACCAATGTTGGCACCTATTAACTCACTTTTATGTTTATGATTATTTAAATACCCAAAGAAATTACGACTTATATATAAACATCCAACTCCCACAGTGCCGCTAAGTCATGCATTCGAAAATTAATAAAATAAAATGATAACTTAATTGCATCACGTAAAATTGAACGCGCAAAAAGACCCAGCTCTCTTAAGGACGTCTCGACGGCGAATGTTTCCGGTGATCTGGCCTGTGGAATTGTGAACAGCGAAGCTGCGGTCCGTTGCGCACTTTGGAGCACAGAAAAGGCTACAGGCGCGGTAGTAAGATTATGCAGGGTACTGATTTAGCATGATAGTTCGCATCGTACCGGCGTGCGGTCGTGTATCACTACTGCGTGGTGCACGTTAAAGACCCCAGGCTAGCGGCTGTACCGCACTGGCTAAATTGCTCATCTACAGCTGGGAGACTCGTCGCCCCTGTGAGGCAGACCAAGTTCTAGGCTGTATAAACACACACACAACCCAATTTTTTTTTTCATGATAGTTCGCGCGCTCGTAACAGTTCTTACTGTTAAGGGCTCCTGCCCCTGCCCGCACCCTTACCTCTGTTCAAATAGTAAGTTGTGAAAAGGGTAACTGGAGGCAGGTAGATTTTGGCGTCCTTTTATGTTTAATATCTTATATTTCGGGACAACTTTCTGAAGCAATAATGCTAGAGCTGTGGGCGCCTATAGGGAGCATTCACAGGCGGCCATATCCATGTGCGCTGCTGCTGAGCGCGTGCTGACGGCGAGCTTCCGCAGTGCTTTTGGAACGTGCATTTAGCACCATCAAGGTTGCCGGTGTTAGCAGGCTATTAATGTGAGCTCGTTGTGAGCACGCGCCCTAAACATCGCCCTCAAATATGGCGTCCAGTGAATACCTCCTATGCACTCGCGTTACTAGAGAACCGATCAAATCTGTGCAGGCATATTCTTTTGAAATGGCACAAAAAGTTGTCCTCGAGTGTAGGCTTAATGATCTTTCTTCGCCAGCTGTCCAGGCAGGTGAGAATTGCCACATGGTTCAAAAGACAGAGTAGCTACAAAAGCACCTGTGCCCATCACTGAATCTGTGTCGAGGGCGACAACATTGACGGTGTAGTGCACGTAGCAGAAAGCGTTGTATCGAAAGCTCGTCGACAACAAGCGCTCGGCAGCAAGGAATTCTCAGGTTCCCTTTGGAGCGGGCCAAACACAGAGCCCCGAGCGCGTAGTTTTTTAAAGCGCTTTTCATGGGCGAATGCTCGTGTAAGCAAAGCCTTCTGCACGGCCATATACACTTGCGCTGGTGTCTTTGCCAGCACTGAAGACGAGGTGTGAGATGAAGTACAGGCCCCTGGCGTTTGGGGAAAAAAAAAAAAAGAAAAAAAGAACAGTTATTAACGTTAAAGTAAGTTACGCATTTCCGAAAGTTCAGCTCCGTCCAAATGTAGAGCTAGCGGTAAAGGATGGACGCCAAAGTTTCAGAGCTTAGCGTTATCTGATTCAAATGTTAGGGGAGATTTTTAAGAATTGTCAATGCGCCTTGCAAGTGGGCGCATTTCGGTCTTCTGCGCATGGGAAAGGCGGTGTGAAGGTGGGAGAGGAAGTTATACTAAGCTCCGCCTCCTCGGGGAGGAAGGGTCGGGGATGTAAACATCTCGGCGTCGGCAATGGCGGACGTGCTGTAGCTGCTGTCGTGCCGGCGTGCGGTCGTGTATCACTACTGCGTGATGCACGTTAAAGACCCCAGGCTAGCGGTTGTACTGCACTGGCTAAATTGCTCATCTACAGCTGGGAGACTCGTCGCCCGTTAAAGCAGACCAAGTTCTAGGCTGTATAAACATACACACACAACCCACTTTCTTTTTCTGTCGCTGTTGCCGTGAGTCCTTCGCGTGGTTGCTGGTTAAAAGACAAAGAAAAGACCGTTCCGCTTCTGTGTTGTGTGATTTAGAGGTCGGCTCCGATCAGGCGCTGTCCAAAGGGGCAGTGTTACCAGGGGAAATGAAAACGTGCTGCGTCTTCGGATGTGGTGGGCGCAATCACGACGGTATGTCGGATTTTAAATTTCTGGAAGGATTGACAGATTGAGAGCTCTTTCTTGATTCGCTGGATGGGTGTACATGTCCATTCTTAGTTGGTGGAGCGATTTGTCTGTTTAACTCCGATGACGAACGAGACTCTAGACTATTAAATAGGCGCGTGGTCCTCTGCACCTTGCACCCTTCTTAGAGGTACAGGGGTGATCTTTAACCCCAACAGGGATACGTTTCCTTAGTGTGGATAATGATAATGAAGTTCCTTATGACATGATTATGTTGTTAGCTTTGTGTAGCATTTGGAGATCACGTATGGCTGTTCGACATGCTGACCTCGACGCAAAAGAAGTGCGGATATATTTCTTCAACCTTGTAAAACAAGTACAGAGTGTGTATTTGAACTGTGAACCTGAACCGGAGTGGACTAGTATTTTAAAATCACTCCTCGAAATGCGTGATTTTTAATACGCTGTGCAAAAGAGCTGTACAGCGCTGTTAGAATGACATGAATGTTGCTGTAACTACCATGCAATAAAGGAAAAAAAAGGGATCGGTGGCCGAGTGGGCTAAAGCGCAGACCCAGCTCGACGCGCGTGGAGCGAAAGCTCGCTCTGCAGAACCCTGGGATCCTGGGTTCGAGCCCCACCCCTGCCCGTTTTGATCTAGATGAGCATCGTACCGGCTTGCGGTCGTGTATCACTACTGCGTGGTGCACGTTAAAGACCTCAGACTAGCGGTTGTACTGCACTGGCTAAATTACTCATCTACAGCGTGTGACTCGTCGCAACTTTAATGGCTGACCAACTACAAGCTGTATAAATATCCCCATAACCCAATTTGCTTTTTGCTTAGAGGGACAAGCGGCTCTTAGCCGCACGAAACAGAGCCATAACAGGTCTGTGGTGCCCTTAGATGTCCGGGGCCGCACGCGGGCTGCACTGAAGGAAGCAGCGTGTTTTTATCCTTGTCTGCTAACACAGTAAGGTTAGAAAAAAGTGACTTGAGCAAATACAGAGGGCTAATCGAAGTCCATCGAATTACCCTCGAGAAAGTGCTCGTCTGTTTAAATAACAGGGCATAGAAAAATAAGTTTCCATAAAATTTCGTCAAAAATAAAAACAATAATTACTTCGTAAAACTTCGTTTCAGCTTCCGTCCGAGCGCAGCCAAAGCTACTTGTGGCCGGAGCCAATCACAGGCCGGCAATAGGTTACGCGATCTCGCCTGCACTTTTGTATCACACCGCTGCGCCGCTGGTCGGCCGCGCCGCCCGCGCTTGCCGAGTATTTCGTCTGCTAAGGGTGTATCAACGATATCGTCTGCTACAGGTTTAAAAAGTGCCCTTTCACGCTCTGAAACTTAGTCACACGGGATGTCAGTACGTAGGCTGGCCGCTGGCATCTGTGTCCGAGCTTCCCACCTGTTCGGCATAGTTTCGAGTTGTAAGTACACGTTGCAGGGTCCCCGATGACCCGACCGTTGATGTTTCCTTGTATTGTTTGGGTAGACTAGGGCTCGAGGCGCAGTCCTTTCCACCAGCCTCTCGGCGTTTAATGTAATCGGCAGGTAAAGGGATGCCCTGATTTCGCCGCGTATCTGACTTGTAGTGGCCCGGACGCTTTGCTTGTTTACAACGCATTCGCGGTACGACGCGGCCGGAGTCTTCTGCCGAATTTGAAAGTAGACATTCATCACGACCTCCCGTGCCTGACGCCCAAACGTGCCTTTACGAAGGGACGTTTTGAAGCGACTTGGTGAGGAAAGCAGCGAAGCACATCATTCGGCGATTACGGAAACGAAATCACACAGAAAAACCGAGCGCTGCAGCTGTGTTGCCAGCGGATATACATGTTTTCACCAAACCATATGCATTTACATATATTAATAGAAACATAAACTTCAGAGATTGGATTCCTTTAGTTGCAAATCATTCTCAGCAGTACACATCTAGAAGATTGTGGAGTTTTTACGCACAAACCAGTTATTTTAAAAGAAATTACTGTAGTGAACTATTTTGTGGTGCGTAGGAATGCTCTTCTCGAAGTTGCGAACCGTCCCTCAGCCTTTGGCTGCGCTCGGACGGAAGCTGAAACCAAGTATAGAGTCAACGAGGCTACGGCATAACTTCCGCGATATGCTCGACGCCGCGCACGGAAGGAGGGAACTTGCGGACGCTAACCACCCTCGTTCTCGGTTGTTAGCAAACAAATCTCGGCGCGTCGGTCACCTCGCTCGTGAGTCCTTTGGCTTTTATCCTTGATACATGTCTGCTGGTTGTTAGACAAAAACACATCGTACCGCTCGAGTTACTTCGTCTGTCCTTTCTGAAAGGCGAAGTCGAGCTCGCTCGTAATGGTAAGAGAGCTGTTGAAGAGCAGATGACGTTGCAAAGGAGCAGACGACGCTCAGATAGTGGGTCTTGGCGACCTACTATCTTTCCTCTCGAGCCATTTAGAGCTCGGTGTTGACATTACCGCGACCCCTGCGCAAGAAGCAGGCGAACTTGCCCTCCACATAAAGAAATGGCGGTCAACGGAGCCCGCAAATGATGGAGATGAATTGTGTCTGCAATCTGGAAAGGGCCAAATTTCTCATAAAAATTTTTCTAAAATCGCGTATAACTTCTGAATTAGATAATGGAACGTTCTGACACTTTGGCGTCTGGTCCCATCAGCTACTTCTGAGCAGAGATCGAGCTTTCTGGGAGGCAGTTTATTTCTGCGGTGAGAAGATGATGGTTCTCTTTTATCCCAAACGTGTTATTTAGAAGTTCTACCTTAGCATTAAACACAGCATTTTTTCACGTTTGGAGATACATTTAATGCATAAGGTTCTTCCTATTAAACTATAAGCGGTGCTTGGATAATGTTCGGCCACAGCGCGGATTAATTTTAAAGGCCACAAATGATGTATCGGCCAGTGTTGCCGATAAGGCATGACAGGCCGGGTGTGGGAAAGCGACGAACGAAACGTCTTCTTTATTTGGCACGCGCTTATCGATCTGCTTTGTGCGGCGCGCGCAAGATACAATACAATGACACTTTCATTTTCGAGCGCAAGGTGATCACAGCCGGTTATTTACCTAAAACTCCCTAATTAACTTCTTTTGAATACTTACTTTAGCTGGTACATTAGAATTAAAGATGTACGTCGTCAAAATTTGTTGATGCTGTTAGAATTCAGACAAATGACAAATTTATGCCGTGAGGAGTTCGAGATACAGAAGATAGACACAAGAAAGCATAGAAGTCTAAACCCGGAAGTGACGTCACCCTCTGCAGCGGGGGCGTGTAGCGTGTCATCGCGAGCTGATCTGGCAGCGTCGCGCTATTCTGGAGTCACGTGTTCATGGATAAGACGCGCTGCACTCTGCTACTCAGGCGCGTGGCATTTGGCACTTTTTGTTTAGGCCGGGAGAATAATTTAGTTTTATGCGAACGTCGGGGGCAAGAAATCTCATTAGAATATGTCGTGTAAGGCAAACCTTTCTAGAGAGTTAATTATTTCAGTTAGTAAGATGGACAATATATTTTTTATGCATACTCTTATGTCGGCCGTGGCAGACAATATTATCTCGAAGAAATTATGTCCCTATTTCGAGCGTTATTTTTTCATGATTCTCAGTCGTTGGTGTATATATTGCACCCCGTGGCATTTCTGAACACAAGCAGGGAAGGACGCAGCGATAAAGAGAAACGGTCTTTACTGCAATACAAACAGGGGAAGGATGTGCCTAGGTGGAGCAGACACTCAACCAGCGTGGCGTTGCGGAGACATGGCCCAAGACGAGCTTGGTTGAGAAGTTCTTTCGGCGCCACTCTTTGATGGCGTCAAACGAGTACCTGTGAAGTGCCGGGCATGCATACGCGTTACAGAATAGGAAAACATATATCCCCATTATACTCGCTTGTACGGTAAAATCAAGTACGCTACGGTGGTGGCGTCGGAAGCGTTCGAGGAAAATTGAGGGGGGGGGGGGGCGATTTATCTCCTCCTTCCCCCGACATCAGCGGACGCTACGGGCCATCCCTGCAAATCCAGCGCCTTGAATGTATCACGTGACTACGCGCCTGTCCCGATGGTCACGTGATACTCACACGGCATGAGATTGGCTTCGAGAGCTTGTATCGCCTTCTGTGGTACATCGTAAGGCGAAACGGAATATTAGAAATGTCGAGAACATCAACAGAAACCGTCCCCCCCCCCCCCCCAAAAAAAAAAGCATCAACAACACAAGAATTCCACCCCCCCCCCCTTTTCTAAGAAAAAAAAGAAAAGCACATACAAGAGAAAGAGATATGTTTGGTTGCTAACACGGTATTACCGGCCGGATTACCCCTGAACAAGTACATGAGATTTGTCACAGATAGAATTCGCTGATCAGCCGATCTCCAAACAAGCAATAAGCTGAAGAATGCATTTTTAGCGCACGACTTCATTAAGTTTTCCTCTGACCATCTCAATTAAAGTTTTCAAATCTGCGAAATCTTACAGTGGCCTTGATCGAAGTGTCCCCTACAGCACGTATATGTCTGCGGACATACTTTTGCAAGATGAAGACCGTGAAGTCAAACGCGGTTTTTGCGAATGAGAGGTGAGCACGTCCAAAATCTTTCACGACCCTCGGTTAAGAGTTTAAATGTGAATGTTTGCATCTTGTCAAGCAATACAGAACACCCAACCTTTTACTTATAGGAGAATCGAGCAATTTTATGTTCCGTGTGCCTGAATGAAGATAACATCTTTGCATGGCATATTCAGTAGGTGCTAGATTTTTTAGAGCGCAGCTCTTAGGGGCCTGTTTCCGGCTTGAGCGGCGTCGCCGTCGGCGTAACCGCGCGGTGCATTATGGGTAAATTTGCCCGCTAAATCTAGCGGAAAACTTTCCCCGCTAGATTTAGCGGAAAAATTTCCCCGCTAAATCTAGCGGAAATTTAGCGGAAAAAATTCCCCGCTAAATCTAGCGGAAAAATTTCCCCGCTAAATATAGCGGAAAAAATTACCCGCTAAATGTAGCGGAAAAATTTCCTCGCTAAATCTAGCGGAAAAATTTCTCCGCTAAATCTAGCGAAAAAATCTAGCGGGAAAAATTCCCCTCTAATAGCGGAAAAATTTCCCCGCTAAATCTAGCGGAAAAAATTCCCCGCTAAACCTAGCGGAAAAGTTTTTCTGGGGGTCACGTGACCCCCCCAAGGTCACATCATAGAGTTATTATAATCTACGCTAGAGGTTCAACTGGCGCTAGTGTCTATGCGACTTCCGTGACGCAAATTGAAGCAGACAGCAACCAGTCTACTTTTGCGGTGTTCCTGTGCATTCCTATGAAAAACGCGCGTGCATTTTGTCTCTTCGCCGGAAAATATCATAGAACACTTTTCTTATTTGGGTCGTACCGAATAGTATGTACCTTAATTAACATTGCAAAAGTGCAATTGCTTTAGTTAGCGCATTTTTCTGACCAGTGACGGATATTTAACTTTACTATATTTCAGGCTTATGACTATGCCCCACAGCGTATGTTCAAAGGCATTGACGCATCTAAACAAAAATAACAGTCGAATGGAACGTCGAGTGTGTTCAAGGTTCACCAACATCGAGAGTCACCAAAGTGTGGGATTGATATTGTTGTTAGAGACGAAGTAAACAGCCAAGACCGGACTGCGAGCCTGGAAGCGTGTCCCGAGGAACCGAGGAACTTTGAAGTCAAACACTACCGGAGGCGACGAAGGTCGGTCAATTAGCGAAAGGATCGGCGACTCATATTTGCATCTCTATTTGAAATCCTGGGCGTCGTGCTATTTAAGCGACATAATCTTCTATGCGAGCGGTTTACTGCCTTGATCTGCGTACACGACACTTGAGAAGAAACGGCGTACATGGGCTAGTAAATGCCGGTTTTTTATTTGTAATCGTGAACGAATTTTCATGTGAAATGACTTGTACCTAGACGTAACATAGTGTGCGATTTGTGATAACGTTTAATGGCAATCGGCGCAAAGAAGAAACAGAAATGCACAATAACACCCCGGCAAAAGACAACAGGAGAAACAGATTTGAGCATATATGCGCATTTTGGCATATTAGATACGATCAAACATATAAATAACGATCGATGAAAGAAATAAGACTTGCGAGATACACAGCTCATCAATATTGCATAGAAATTGTTGTTTCACAAACATATTTACATCCACCATCAAGTTCTAGTACTAAATGAATCAAACAACAAAGCAAGGGAAAAATGCAAACAAGCTGACAAAAAAGAAAGAAAAAAAAGAAGGCATGGTTTCAGGATGCCGCATTACTGGTGGCAAAAAAGGACCCGTTTGGTCAAGGTATGCCGCACATATGCCCCACGGGATCTTTCAGTAATGGTGCGGGCCAGGTGTCGCAACCGCAGTGCGACATATTTCTTAATGACTGCCTTGGCAAGTGAAACTGCGTGCATTGGCTCATCTTTGACATGCACCTGGTTCTTAAAACTCTCTGCATGTTTGTCATAAAATGCCCTATATGCTAGAACAGTCAGGACAGTTGCATTCATTTTTGCTGCTCCATCTTCAGTGGCCATCCTGAAGATTTTTTCGGTTTCCTGCAGGAGCAGGCAAACGAGCTCGGAGGGGTACACGAGCCCGCCATTGTCCCTGATGCTAATGAGGACTCCTGTCACGCTATCATCCAGGAGCATGCTCACACAGGATGGGCAGCTCAGCGTCTTGGTGACCTGGCGGCTGATGAAGCCCCCAATGTACTTCACAACTTCAGAGGTGAACTCTGACAGGGTATCCTCGCCCAACCCATACACCACGGCCAGATCGTCACCCTCTTGGTCGTCCTTGGCATCAAGAGCAGGGTTGATTGTACCCTGGCTGACGGTCAGGCTTTCCCCTTCGAGGTCAGTAGCCACGTTGGCGGAGTTGGGGGCTTGCACACCAGCATGTACCAGCAGCTTCCTGTAGGCCTGCCGGAACTGGGCAGCTGATGGGTTATTGTTCCAGCCACCCCTTTGCCGCGCACAGCTGAAGAACATCTCCAGGTGGTCCTGGCTTGTCCGGTAGGAGCACAGATAGCTAAAAAAGGAAGACATGAGAGAAGACAATTTGTTTAGAAACATGAATCGTGTAGTCAATAATAATAATAATAATTTTTATTTGCACAGATTACAATACCCACTCGGCAGCATGCAAGGCTAGGCAGAAAAGTTGAGACACTTACGCAGGCGCACCTGCTAGCCCGCCGCCAAGTGGAAAAAGGGATACGGGAGAGGAAAATAATTACAAACACTCAGAACAGAAAGTCTGCTGCAGGTTAAGAAAAGCAGAACAAGCCCTCTCCAGGAAAGCCTGCCACTTTTTTCACCTTAGCAAAATAATGTTGGAGGAGAAGGTGAGTGGAGAAGAGAAAATCGCGGTGAGCGCAGAGCTTCTGGAACAACAGACTATAAATGTGATAGAGTACAGTTTTGTTCTACACTTGCACTAACCTGACTTCACCACTGGTGAGCAGTTGAGTTGCAAGGCTTGCCACGCTCTTCAGGGTGAAGGCAAACGCAATGACAGACATGCGCCTGCCGTCCGTCACTGCAGGTTGGCCGCCAGGTAGCTCCAGCTGCATGAGGTTCTGGCCGACTCGCTCCATCGTCTGGCTCCTCTCCTGGATGTTGGCCTGGTTGAAGGGACGCTTGTAGGTGCGGGCCACAGGACTCCGTGAGTTTAGTAGGTCAAAACACCTGGATAACATGCAAAACCATTGTTTTCTGCAGTTAACACATGGAACATTAAATTCAGCCTCACTATAGCATAAACACCAATAATGAGCTTCAGATCTTACCTATCAATGTCCTGGATGAACTTGCATGTTCCCTCACAGTTGCTAAACTCTGGGAGCCCAAGCTGTTTCGCAAACAGAAGGGCTTTGGCGACGGAACTGCTGAGGGTTTGAGCAGCCAGCTTGACCTTCATCTTCTGTCGGCAGAAGTCGATGTGGGCTTGTGTGAGTTTGTTGGCAGCACGAAGGCCTTCAGACATTTGCAGCTTGTGCAACTGCTCAATGAAGTGCCACTGGATCTGCTGCAAATTAATAACCATTGGAAGAATATAATTATATCAATTGAAGTTCTTATCTGGTAATATTAGCATGAAGGTATAGAGGCACATTTGGAGTAGGTGCCCACATGTCAAGTGCTCTGGTCTCTTGTAATCTTCAGAAATATGTCTTCTATATCACTTAGTAAACTAATGCAATGCTTGCAAAAAGATTTTTTTTTTCCAGATTTGTTTTTTGAGGTTTTACCGCATTTGAAGTGGCTAGCACACAGAGCATGTGGATTCTGACTCACAGCATGCCTCTAAGCATTTTAGAATTTTGAAAATGGCCTACTGCACAAGTACTGAACTGTTTGTATTTAGTATTGCTACCTATAATCTGTTCTGATGTGCCACTAATTATTTTTGAACTAGTTCAGCTTGTCAGAACAGGGCACTGGTACTTCTTAGTTGCTGCTTGGTTGTTTCAGATTGCCTTTTCTATGACTGTACATCAAGTTTATTATTTTACATTATGATGTCAGGCTCAAAGAGTCTGCATGGTTGACATTAGTGTGTTGGTTAGCATCACATTAAGAACTGCATGGAATAGATACACAAGCAATAAAGAATGGTTAATTTGTCCTTGTTTTACTTCGTATTTTACGATAGTTGCTTTACAACTGAATTTTGAACCTCAAGATTGGAACATAAGGACTGAAGTCCCAAACTACACTTCGTTTAGTGGCTGTGTGTTTTTTTGCAGTTCTCGGGGTTCATAGTCGGTCTTTTTTTTCTGATGTAGTGATACTTGTATGTTTTAAAAAGCCATTAGGTACTATTTACCGCATAGGCTGCTGACGTTAGCACCTTCTTGTCTCCCAGCAGGTTACGGAGAAGCTTGAGGGCATGGCAGGCATCGAAAATGAAATGCACCTCCTCGGTGGGTCGAGTCGGGTGCTTGAAAGTTGTCTTCATGTCTTCATAGCTGATTTCATGAACATGGCAGCCCAGCAGCTTTGCCATGGCGACATTTGCACCCAGTCCGTCGCACACCACGGCCTTGACGTGGAGACCGCACTCTTCAAGGGCGACGATGCTGTCTTCAAGTAGGCTCTTAAGGAACAACCCTGACACTCCATTTGTCAGGAAATAGCCAAACGGCATCTTCCAGGGTGAAGCTAGACCTACGACCATGAAAACCAAGGCCTCTGTTGCCATGGGCACTTCGTCAGTCTCGCCCGGGCCAAGTCCTTGACCAAAATCCACGTGCCCAATGAACCTACCCTTTGGGACATCCAAGCTTACTTCTTTTTTTATGGACATCCCATCCAGCATCACAACACACAGCTTCTCCCGTTCAGAAGAGTTCGCATGTCGTCGCTCCAGCTCTCCTAGTGCTTCTTTGGTGAATCCAGGCCACCCTCCAACAACTTTCAACCAACACCTGAGGGAGCTCACAGAAGGTAGGGGGAAAAGTGTGCTAACGTAGGCATAGGCTTGGGGTGAGTAGTAGTGCAGGGTGACTGCAAACTGCTTGGTTCTTTTGCTGTACCTTCTGCCGGTCATCTTCCTGCTGGCGTTTTTTTCAAAGCCCTTCAGTAGTTCCTGCGGGATTTCTCCAAATGCTTCCATCCTTAGTTGAAGCTCATCTGTCAGTGCATGCTCTTCCTTTAGACATTCCAAAAGAGATTGGAGATTTCGAACTTTTTGTTTGTTTCTTTGCAGGGTCCGTTGCATTGTGTGAATTTTCTTTTTTGCCGAATCTGTTTTCTTGTTCATACGACGTCGTTTACTTTTCGGGGACTCTCCATCGAAGTAGGTGTGGTCACTCGAGCATGGTTTTGGTGCTGCGTCATCGGTGATCCGTGGTGCTGGACGCTTCCTTGGTGCCTATAAGAAAGAGACCAGTAGGTTTACATTAACGCAAACACACTTTGTTCTGATGTATATGATCTAAGGACTGGAAATAAAAGACATTACAAACTCCTCTGCTGCTATACATTATTTTTGCATTTACCACAATGACGCATGAAGCTAAAATTTTACAAAAAAAAGCATGCATCATATTTACTTCTGAATTCAACCTTGATAGATTGATAGAATTCAACCTACTTAAAGTTCAGTATATATGTACCTACCTTGACAGAACCAACGGTGGGTGCTGCATCTTCCTTAAGTCTTGCTTTTACATACAACCCATCCTTAAAGCACTGGAGCTTGAAGTGCCGTGAGCAAAGGACATGATGTGCAGCAGGAGTAAAGTTGTCCGGACAAACTTTTAACCACTTCTGCAGAAGGTTGTCATTTTTTTAGGGAACCTGGAATATGAAACGAAGTGCTCCAATACAGGCCATTTATGTACAAGCGGTCGCGCGCTATTATTTGATTTGTAGTGCTATGTAGTAATTAAATAAATGTGTGATTGCTACTTACGTGTGAAATGATAATCCTAAGGTTTTTCCCTCACGGTTCTTGCAATCCAGCGCTGCGCACAACCTCGGCATTCCCGTATTTTAACGACGTGAAGCGCTTGCGCCTCGATCAAATTTAACCGCGCGAGCGGGAAAGCAGAAAGCAGACGACATATCAGACCTCATGTAATTTTTGTTTGATCTATTCTCCTTGGAAAAGTTTGCAATCAGTGAAAGAAACAAAAAAGGTAAAACAGAAAACGTATGTGGGCTAACAGACGGTATTATTATTATTATTTCATAAGTTGCGGCCGCCTTTGAACACCCCCGCCGTACCGCGCACCGGTAGCCACTGTGCCGGTAACCACTGGGCCGCCAGGTAAGGTGTACAGTGTGGGTGCCTCCCAGTATTTTTGAATGTTTTGGACTATATGAACATATATTGAACGATGCAACAAGACGATCTTCGTATTCATGCATTCGAAGAAGAAAAAAAACAACTTTATTCGCAGAGTTGATACGAGCCATTGGAGCTGTTCCCGTTGTTTGTCGTCTGCTCTTCTGACCATAGAGTTATTATAATGCTTCTGACGTGACACATTATCGTCGCTTTCACCTGGGGGGCTGAGAGCAGTTTATTTAATTGTATGCGATTTTTGGTTGCGTTTTTATGGGTAAATACCACGGTAAATTAGCAGGCTGCGGCAACAATCTCAAACATATTCGCGTAGTATACACGTATATTTAGCTACTTTAGCGCTCTGCTTTATGCCATGAAATCGACAGAAAAAACCTCTGCAAATGACATTTATCTGTATATGTGATTGAGAAATGTTATAAACTATTTATCAGGTTTGGTTTCTTCTTAATATTGTCTCATATAATTGAGCGCAGAAAGAAAATGCGTGCGCTTTTTTCCATAGAAATGCATTACCGGAAGTCAGTTTTAGACTGGTTGCTGTCTGCTTCAATTTGCGTCAGCACACTAGCGCCACTTGAACCTCTAGCGTACATTATAATAACTCTATGGGTCACATGACCCCCCCCCCCCCCCCCCCCCCCCCCGCCCCGAGAACAGGTAACCCTCAGTACCCTTCCCTCCTCCTCGTCAAGAGCTGCGCTCCAATAGACCATTTGCAGTCCTCCCAAGCGCCCCGGCGCGCGCGCGAGGAATCTTGGGATCGGTGTTCTGTCGGCCCCCGTCGTCTGGCTGCTCTCCGTTGGAATCGCATCACCTCGCTCTAGACATACTTTTCATCTTCGTTGTTTATACTTAATAATCCTCTTTTTTATCTACTCCAGTGTATTTTTCTTGTTCATAAGTGTATCTATTTCGTTCAGCGCTTTGTATTTCTTCTGTATATTACGTGTTTTTGTGCATATTCCATCGTTTTCGACGCGGCCGTCGACGGACACCACGCCGCTTCGTTCGCCGCTCCCGGGGTGAGTACTGACTGTTGCCGTTACGCTCTATCCCGCTCCTAGGCCGTTCATTTAACTCGTGTGCGGTCGCGAGAGAGCAGTTTCGAACATCACTACAAATGTCACCGCTGTAAGCAGAGAAATAAAGTAGTCATCACGAAGCGAAGGCCGACATGCCTTCGCTTCGTGATGCGCTCGCCCTGTGAAATGTGAGCGTGGGATATCGAGTACTGCTTGCGTGCTCAACATTCGGGACGGTGCTTTGTCGTTGCGATCTTTTTGCCCTTCGGACGCTTGCGAAGCTGTACCAGCGGTCGGCGTGCCTCGGCAGCGCTCGTCAACA